AGTTGAATTGAGTTTTGAGTGCAGTGCTATCATTCAAAGGAAGGTGATACCAAAGAAGCTAGGTGATCCAGGTTCCTTCACTCTACCTTGTTCACTAGGACCCTTAGTGTTCAACAATAGCCTTTGTGATTTGGGAGCTTCGGTTAGTTTGATGCCTTTGTCTGTTGCAAAGAAATTAGGATTCAATAAGTTCAAGCCTAGCAGCATTCATCTTATTCTAGCTGATAGATCAGTGAGAGTGCCTCATGGGATGCTAGAAGACTTACCGGTAAAGATCGGATCGGTTGAAATTCCAACCGACTTTGTGGTTCTAGAGATGGATGAGGAACCGAAAGACCCTCTCATTCTTGGGAGACCATTTTTAGCAACTGCGGGCGCTCTTATCGATGTGCAAATGGGTAAGATCGACTTGAACCTTGGTAAGAATCTCCATATGAGCTTTGATATTGCTAAGAAGATGAAGAAGCCCACTATAGAAGGGCAGCTTTTCTTTATTGAAGAAGGAAATTTAGATGCTGAGTTGTTGAGTGGGTTGGAAAATCCTATTCCGTACTCCATTCCGACTCGCCACCTAGGAGAGCCCGAGAAGCTTCTTATGATAGAAGGAGGACCTAGCTTAGAGGTTGAGACTAAGGGGAACCATTTGGATGTTGGTCCTATTGCTAGAGAGCTTATGGAGCTCAGGAAACAGTATGGAGCTCAAGGAGAGACCATGGAAAAGTTGGACCTCAAGATGGAGGAGCTGAACTACGCTATCCTGGAGCTTAAGGAGATGATTAAAGGTTATCCAGGTCCTGAGATCGATGAATACTTTGAGGAACCCGATCTTGGAGAAGAGGACTATAGTACTGATGAGAAAGAGGCTTACTTCGAGGAAAGATCAAATGAGTACTCCACACTCCAGCTATCAAGAGAAAATGCGGAGTATGATTCAGACTTTGAGGATTCAACAAGTGAGGATGAGGACTTCTCAGTTCCTCTCCTCAATCTCTTCTCTACCTAAACATTGTGAGAGTCAAGCTTAGTGACTTTAAACAACCTCACTTGGGAGGAAGTCCCATGTCTATCCTTGTATATATTGCTTTCTTGTTATTTTTGATGTTTTTGTTTAAGTGTTTCAGGGAAAAAGACTTCTAAAGAATTTCAGGCCACACTCGACCGTACTACTCGGCTACAGGCCGAGTGTGGGCTTCAATTGACCAAAGGCCCAAGATTGAATAGTACTCGGCCCACACCACTCGGCCCAAGGTCGAGTATGGACCTCACTGTTCAAAGGCCCAACAAGATGCAGCACTCGGCCCGAAGCCGAGTCAGAAAAAGAAGCCCATCAGGCCCAACACTGTACTCGACACGCGCGTCGAGTATGTCGGCCGATTTCACACGTGCGAGGTCAACACAATTCAAATTCGAATTTGAATTCGAATTTGCTGGGCCCCACCAATCAAATCCTGCTCCCCAAAGCCCTTCAAAGATTCTGCTGCAAATAGTGAGACATGTCCCCTTGACCAAATGAAGGGTGAGGATCTAAGGTGTTTGGAGGGCTAGGATCAAATCTTCTTGTCTATAAAACCACACTCAACAAGCTAAGTCACTCACACTCTCTTTTTGCTCAAAAATTTCGAATTTTACTCCTTCTCTCCAAACATTTTAAGTTCTTACTTTCACTTCTCTAGATTTCTCAGAAACTTTGCCAAAATCTCTTGTTACAAACCTTTTCAAAGCCTCTCTTACACTCTTTGTTCATTTTTAAACATTAATTTCTCTTCTACTTTGACCTACCTTCGGTTATTTTGTGGTGACTACCTGCAGTAAATCACCCCAAGATCATGAATCCCGAAGAATCAAGAAGGAGAGCCTCTGCTCGAGCAGTGGCAAGAGGGTTTGAGATGATTAATGAGAAGAATCAGTCAAGGAATCAGAAAGCTGCGAGTCCTGGTTTTACTCGGATGACAGGCCGAGTACAATGGCCGAGTATGGCCCCGGAGTCTTCTGAGGGTCGTTCTGCGGCTGCTCAAGAGGAAATAGCAAGAGGCAAGAGGGTCTGGGAGTCCGAGCCAGTTGCAGAAGAAGAAGTGCCTGAGTTAGAGAAGGAAGCATTTGAGGAAGATGTGCAAGTTGATGAAGAGGTCCCGATAGTTCCTACAAGTAGAAGAAGGAACACCATGAGGAGAAAGAAAGAACCTACCATAGAAGAGCACTACCAATATCTCATGGAGCTGAGTTTTGAGGGGACAAGATATCCCCATAGACCTACCATGCAAGCTTTGGGGATATGTAGAGATGTTGACTACCTCATGGAGATGGCCAAGCTGGAGACCTTCTTCTCCTACCAGTATGAAGGATACAAAACTGAGAGCTGCCAATTCCTAGCCACTTTGAAGCTCCATTTCTATGCTGAAGAAAGGGAGAGAGAGCTGCATAAGGGAGTTGGTTACATCACTTTCATGGTGTTTGGAATTCAATACTCGGTTCCCATTAGGCAGTTGGATGCTATTTTCAAGTTCCCCACCAAGTATGGAATCCGCCAAAACTTCAGCAACGACGAGCTCCTTGATCTATGGTTGACAATCGCCGGTCCACTCCTCTACAAGTCATCTAGGGCCAAGAGTTCGTTGATAAGGAGCCCGGTGCTTAGGTATCTCCACCTTTGCATTGCAAGTGCCTTCTTCCCGAAGAAGACAACCGGCCATGTTAATGAGGGAGAGCTGAAGTTGCTTGATCTCACCTTATGCTTCATTTTGGGGCACACGAGGAATGGGATAGAGATGGAAGGGGATAGGGCTGATACATCCCTTTCGGTGGTGTTGATTGATCACTTGATTGGTTTTAGGGAGTATGCAGCCGGAATCCACCAATCCGGCTATGGAGGAAGCTTATGTGCTGGAGGAGTGATCACGCCCATCCTAATAGCCGCTGGAGTTCCTCTT